CATAACATTATCAAGACATACATATATTAAATTAGAATTTCTCAGTAAGAACACAATCCTTTTGGAAGCTCTTTAAATCTCATAAAGGCTTCTTTAAAAATTGAAAACTGCCAGACTATCAATTATCCTTCCACAAATAACTGAAATAAATTTGCTTAGACTAATTTCTACAATTCAAGCACTGTGCTTTCTTTCTTTTTCTTTTTTTTGAGGCAAGGTCACACTATGTTACCCTGGCTGGTCTGGGAATCATGGCCTTGATCCTCTTGCCTCAGCCTCTTTAAATCTCTAGGACTTGTGGATATGCACCACCGCACCCAGCTTGGTTTCCTCTTTTTGTAATAAGTTTTACTATAATACTTAAAACATACAACATGATGTTATGAGATATATAGTTTAATGGTTACAAAAGTGAAACAAAATAATGTATCCATCATTAAAACATACAATGTATCGTAAGATGTATAGTTGAATGGTTATAATAGTGAAACAAAATAATGAATCTATCTTCTTACATAGTTAAACATTTTCCTCCCTGTGGCAGGAAACAATATAATGTAATCACTTAGCCCAAATGAACTATTAACTATGGTCCTCCTCACGGTGTACATTATGTCTTTCGCATCTTCATCTTAGGCATTTGCTACTTTGTATCCCTACTTCCTCCCCACAATCTCCTACATATCCCTATTTCTTCCTCCCCACATGTATTTTCTTTCTTATCCAGCTAAAATGGTGGCAAGTAAGAGCCACCTAGTTTTAAATGCAAATGAAAACACTGCATTTTCCTACAGTAGGTACATATATCCCATACAAAACAAACAACACCAATAACTATCCCCATCACCCAATTATGTTCAATCTTGTAATATTCCACACTGCCTTACACTGTGCCAGATGTATAAAGACTAGATTTTACAGAGTTTATTTACTGAAATATAAAATGTCTTTACTACTATAAAGGTTGGGAAAGGCTCGTGCCTCTTGTATTAAATTACAGTAAATATCAATTAGGCCTTCAGGCTAATTTTGACATTAAATGTAGACAATAACACATTACAGCACATTTCCAAAACTGTTAGGCATTTCTGAAACTAGTTTAGAAAATAACTACAACACAAGTACCTTACTTGTTCACAATTAAGGCCAATCTTCTTGTAGGAAGTGCTTCTAAGTTCTCCCTATCAGTATCAATATATTTAGCAGGCAGACTCACACACTGCCTAGACACACTGATGATACACAGATGTAAATACAGTGAAACAATGACACGCCAGGAAATGACTGAGGAGTCTATTCATTTTATGATCCTCCCTAAACAAGCTGGGCACCTGTGCACACTACAGAGGTACAATCAACACTATGAGGAAGAGACTTCCAGAACTCTTCCGGCACAGAATCTTCTCAGTTTGAATAACGAAGTACTTTAAGAAAAGGAGTTTTTAATTTACCCCCACAGAATCAGACTCCCAAGGTAAGAAGGCATTTCAAGTATTAAATGGCAATCCTATAGAAATGTGCTACCTAATGAGGTAAGAATTAACTACACGTCACTACTGAGCACTTGGAATGTGGCTGGTCCAACCTGAGATGATCTGTTAGTGTAAATACACACAGTACAGTTGAGCACAGCACGGTGGCAGGCACCTGTGACCCCAGGTCGTACTTAGGAGTTAAGGTAGGAGGATTGCAAGTTCAAGTCCAGTTTGGGCAACTGAGCCAGACCCTGCCTGAAATAAAAATTAAAAATAAAAAATAAAAAGAGCCAAGAGCATAGCTCAAGGGAAGAGTAACCCTAGGTTAGAGCCTCACTACCATAATACAAAACAAAAAAACACATATGCACTAGAATTTGCAGATGTAGTATGAAATCATGGAAAATATCTGATTTTTGGGTTTGTTTGTTTGTTTTGAGGCACTGTCTTCCTGTGTAATTCAGGTTGGCCTTAAACTTACTGTTGTAGGCCAGGCCAGCCTCAAACTTCTGTCGCTGCTACTGCCTAAGCCTCCTGAGTGCTGGGCTTATAAGAGTGTGCCATACCATACTGGACTTGGAAAATACCTCATTGTTAACTTTAATCAATAACACGTTGAAATGATATACAATTAAATAAAAGATATCTAGAGCTGGATGTGGTGTCCAAGGGTTAAGACTGCAGCTCAACATGAAAGCCATAAGTTCAATCACCAAGGCCACATACAAACGCATAAACATCATTAACTTTTTACTTTGTTAATATGACTACTCGAGATTTTCAGATTCCTTCTGTGGCTTGCAGCATACTTCTGTTGAATGGTGCTGCTATAGACCTACAGTCTTGCTTCTGATAACAATCTAAAATTATCATCGAGTCTTCCCAATTACAGCTGTCATTTAAAAGCTGAAAGAAAAAGCAGTATTTTCCTTCTTTACCATCTCAAGATAAGTAGCAGGGTATGATGGCACACTCCTGTAATCTCAGCACTAACGAGACTGAGGCCAGAGGATCCAAGTGAGTTCAAGGCCAGGCTGTTCCAAAACACCAAAAAAAATTTTTCTTTGGAGATAAATTAATACGAAAAATAACTCTAAACAGTCATAAAAATAATCTGCAGAATAACTTTGTCCTCCCACCATTTGAAAGACAACTATGAAAAGACAAAAATAACACAGGATGCAACAATGTATCACTTAAGAAAATGAGATGGAAAATGTACTAATCAAGTCTTCTAATAAAGTAAGTCTAAATAATGATTACATGTGTAAGAATCACCTTACAATGAAATGGACATCTCTTACATTTTGTTTTAGCATATGGGCCTTTTTAAAAAAGTATTGGGTTCTGTCTCTCTTATTCAAGGATCTTCAACCACAGCAAGTGAACCGGTAAGACTGTTAAAAATAATTATAACTGAATTATATTTCCCCAAACCGCAGGAAAACATTAAAAGGAAAAAAATAAAAGGAATTATCTCCGTGTCTCTAGAACTCAGCAGGTGAACTTTGGCCTACAAAAAAAAAATGTATTTTATCTTTTCCTTTTTTTTAAGAGTCGGAAAACAGCCGAGCATGGCGGCACAGGCTTGTAATCCCAGCACTTGGGAGACTGAAGCAGGAGGATCGCAGCGAGATCAAAACCAGCTTGGGCTACAAAGTGAGCTCAAGGCCAGCCTAAACTGCATAGCGAGACGTCTCAAAAAGAAAAAAAAAAAAAAAAAAAAAAAAAAAAAAGAGTCGGAAAATTTATTGGAGAACAGGAATGGGGAATAGGAATACTGTAGCTCCTGAGACACAGGAGGGGTCCCGAATGGGTCACTCAAAAACTATACTTTAAAAGTGAGAAATTCAATGATATACTCTGGAGTGGGTCATGTTCTTCTCCTACCATTCAAAATCATTTGACTTGATTTGATTTTAAAGTGTTTAGGTCTTCAGGGTTCTTGGCGGTGAGGGTCCAGTGTATTTCTAAATCTATGAAAAAAATTTTAAAGGAAGGGTGAAAAAGCCTTCTCAGGTGCTGACAGAATGTAAGTCACTTCTAGAAATTTTTCAGTAAGGACACTGCATAAAAGAAAAACCTGAAGAAATTAAGATCAGTGAGTAAGTCCCCGGGGGGGGTCACACCGTCGACTACATACTTTCTACGGTGCCCTAGTAATCCAAAAGTCACGTTTAGCTATCAATTCTTCATCCATCTGAATTTCATCAGTTGAAGATCATCTTCAGACTGCTTATTAGGTAATACATTCCTCAGAAACCTTTTCCTTGTGCATTTAAACACCAAGCTCAATTGTGCTCCCAGTAGAGTAAGCAGAAAGGATTGTACATATTTTAAAGTAAAGAAGGGACGGGCTGCAGTCTTCTGCGTTTGTAGAAAGGCTAATGGTCAAAGCTCTTTCTGAGCATGATCCTCAAAACCCTGAGGTCGCTCTCAAAGAATCGGGTCTTCTAACATTGCCCAACAGACTGCCAAAATTTCCATTACAGCATCCTATTTTTAGGAATTGGTCTTTTAAATTGCATTCTGCAGTACAACGTGTTTAAGTAAGTTTACACAGAGAATAAAAGAAGCACCCCTAAGGTTTTAATCCTTCTATGCCTAGAAAGGAATTTTAAGCTTTTGAATCTTAATTTTTTTTAAAAAATCTTCAACTTAAGTCTTTCAAATACGCAAATTAAGGTACATATCGGCCCGGAGGGAGGTTGGGGAAGGACACTTCGGCGGTTCCTGACAGCTAAGTGGCGGCGGTGGGGGCGACCGGTCTGCGAGGGGAGAACATCCCTGGGGTGGGGAGACCCGGCTGCGGCCAGCGGGGCAGCAAAGGCCAGCGGCAAAGCAGAAGCCGCAGGCTCCCGGGGGAGGCGGGCGAGCAACGACTTCTAGCGCTCGTCCCCTAGAGAGAGAAATTGGCGCGACGCGCAGGAACAGGAGCCCCGAGCCGCCTAGAGAAAGAGAGAAAACCCGCGGGCGGAGGGGGCGGAGGTGAGGGCGCCGGGTCCCCCTCGCCCAGCGCAGAGGCGGCGCCGCGGGAGGGGGCAGCGCAGCGGGAGGAGCGAGGCGCTTCCCAGGGGCTTCCCATCGCGGCCGCGAGCCGGCGGGTCCCGGCAGCCGGCTCTCCGCCTCCTCACCTGGGCATCCGAGGCGAAAGCAGCGCTACCGTCGGGCGCCGAGTCCGTCTCTAGCTCCACTCGCTGACATGGCGGCCGACAAGCTGTCACGGAGCTTGCTCGGGTCTCCCGCGGCTCGGGCGGATTAGACACCTCTCGCCTTTCCGCCCCGCCTCCCTCTGCGCACCCCTCCCTGCTGGCGGGCTGACCGCCCGACACCGCGGAGCATAGAGCGCACGGGGCTAGAGAGGAAGCGCCGCGGGCGGACAACCATAGAGTACAAGTCCGGACACTACCGGATAGCCGGTCTCTCTCCTCGTCAGTCCACTCACAAGCCTCCGGCGGCCGAGCCGGAACGGAAGCGGAAGTGATGGAGGAAAGCGGGAGGGAAGAGTCGTTTGCGTGCGCAGTTTGTAGTGTTTACTTCCGCCCGGCCTACTCCGGCCGGGAGATGAAGCACGTGGGTTTCAGTGCTTCGCGTTCGCCGAAGTAGTGGTCCTGGGTGATCACTGGGAAAGACCTTCGAGACAAAGATGTGGCGCCCAGCAACGGTGCTTCCTCCGCGGTGGACACTGTCAGTTTTCCCAGGTGCTAGTCGCTTTTGCTTTTGGAGGTTGGGAGCAGCGATGCGGAAGGACTTGGGAGACGTTCTCCGCCGTGGCTTGAGTGACTCCTGCCCACAGCCCTTGCGATATGAGGATCTCAGGGTATTTCCTCGACTGCCCTTTGACCGCTCTGTTTTCAAGAGGTCCATAACCAGCCCAAGATTGGCTGAGACCTTGGCGGAAGTGCTGCAGTTGGGAAAAAATGCACGTCGCGGTATAATCATAGAGTGCAATCCAGGTGAGTCTGTTTAGCTTGCATTTTCTTGGATTGTCATCACTTTTTTTTTTTTTTTTTGAGACAGTCTCACTGCAGTTCAGGCTGACCTTGAAGTCACTTTGTAGCCCAGCTGGCCACCAACTCCCAGAGATCCTCCTGCCTCAGCCTACCGAGTGCTGGGACTTAAGGCGTGCGCCGCCACGCCCGGGATGTTCCTCTCTTATGCACATATTATGAAATATCCATGGGGTACTGTTTACCACCTTGCCCTTACCACTTTGCCCTGTCCTTGAAGCAGTTTATGTGGAGAGATTGTCGAAAACATAAGCAGATGATCTGTATTCGTAAAGTCACGTCAAAATATTATGTAGCCGTTTGCACTTTACACAGCATTTGCTCTTACCTTTCACCAAAGATTGGAGCCAGGGAGTGCTGGGCACTAGCCCTTTTTATTTTTTTACTTAGAGACAATCTTTCAATAATTTGCCCAGGCTAATCCTGGAACTCCGGATCTTCCTGCCTCAGCCTCCCAGAGTGCTGGTTTTTTCTCCGGTACTGGGAACCGAACTCATGACCTTGCACTTGCCAGGCAGGCACTTTGCCGCTGAGCTAAATCCCCAGCACCCCAGAGTGCTGGGATTACAATAGCCTCCTAAGCACCAGGGGTTACATGCTTGCATCACCATGCTAGGCTTTTTTACCCTTCTTAGGCATTCACTGTAGATCACAACAAAAAGCTGATTTGTAGTCTTTGCTATTTTAAAGCTATTTCCTGTCCCAAAGAGTCAGTTCTGTTTAGGCTTGACAATATTTTTTTGATGGGGGCTGGGGATTTAGCTCAACGGCACAGCACTTGCCTGGCAAGCATGAGGTCGTGAGTTCGATTCCCGGTACCAGAAAAAAAAAATATTTTTTTGATGGTTAAAGCAACTGGGTAGGCCATGAATAAGTGGTAGGCTAGAGGCAGTCTTTCCTGTTGGTGGTGTCCTTCTGTGAATCGTAAACTGTGATTAAGAGCACAAATTCTGAGCCAGGCATGGAGGGGCACGTCTGTAATCCCAAATCCCAGCACTTGGGAGGCTGAGGCAGGAAAATTGCCAAGAGTTCCAGCCCAGCTTAGGCTACATAGTGAGTTCAAGGCCAGACTGAACTACACAGTGAGACCCTGTCCGGAAAAAAAAAAATGTAAATTTTGAAGTCCCTGATGACAGACTGGATTCAAAACCCAGCTTTACCACTTATTGGGATGTTGGAGTCAGGTGACTAATTCCCTCTTCCTGTATAGGTAAAAAGAGTGGTATCTATTTGGGGGATGTTGTGAGAATTAAAAGTAGGTAATACTTGTGCACCAACTAAAAAAACTTGTTATTAAAGAGATTTTGTTGTTTCTTTTGCACATAATTTTTTGTTGTGTTACTATATTAGGTCCTGGATTCCTGACTAAGGCATTACTAGAAACTGGTGCCTCAGTGATTGCGCTTGAAAGTCACAAAAAGTTTATTCCACATTTGCAGGTACAATTTATTTCCTGGAAATAATTTAGTGTTCAGTCACTAACATTGGGTGGTTTAGGGAAGTTGAGAATTAAGCCCATTTTTTTAGGGACCATGTCTTAATGATCATGTTATCCTTAGTGTTTAGAGCATATCAAGTATTCAGTGCTTAATGAGTAAAAGTTTGGAAGTTCTGAGACTTGTTTTCTGGTTCTAACTCGCTAGGGTTGAGAACATGATACCCCAAAATGCACTGTAGGGGTGGGGGATGTAGCTCAGCAGTGCAGCGCCTGCCTCAAAAGCGTGAGGTCCTGAGTTTGATTCCCGGTAACAAAAAAATTGGCACTGTGACCTGCTGAGTACTTTGAAATAGGTGACCAAACCGTGGAAGCCCTTCAAAGCAGCTTCGGAGCCAAGGTCTCTGAGCCCTACTGCCTTCTTGTCTCTTACACTTTGTTCTCCAGTGCATTGAGTGTAGAAACCAGACTGCCTGTTCCCCAAGGAGAGTTGTAGGAGCTAGAAATCCTTTTTCCCAAAGCAAACAATAAAAGCCTAAAAATACTGTAACTTTTCCCAGAGATAGGCATAAAAAAATTCTCTGACCTACTCTGTCTAATAGTGGATCATGATACGTCAGTCCTGAAGACTTCTCCATGTACTCAGGAAAGCAGGAATGCTACAGAGAGGCCAGGAATCTGAAAAAGCAGGCCTTGCTATGTTTCCCCTTTTCAGCCTAAGACATTAAATCACAGCCTTTTTAAAAATCACATCTCCATACAGCTGTCCATTCTTCACCGACTAAGCATAATAATGGATGATTTTCCTTGGATCTTTGATTCTTAATTCTGAAGACTCTTACGTGCATAAAACTACTTAAATAAATTTGTTGCTTTTCTCTTGTTAACTTGTCTTTCATTATGGGAGTGTAGACTCTGCGCCTTGTGGTGAGGAAAGGTCATATCTTCCCACTTCTGCACTCTGCCATAGATTAGCTTAATGGCTTGAAGTAGAGTGTGAAATTGGTATTACTCAGCTTGTTTCCTCTTTAGTAGGCTGTGCTGTGCCTCTGCCTTCTGTGAGTGTAGCCTTTAAGATTTTAAAAGATGGGCCGGGTGTGGTGGCGCACACCTGTAATCCCAGCACTCGGGAGGCTGAGGCAGAAGGATCGTTGTGAGTTGGAGACCAGCCTGGGCTACAAAGTGAGCGCAAGGCCAGCCTGAACTGCACAGTGAGACCCTGTCTCAAAAAGACAAAAAGGGGCTGGGGATTTAGCTCAGTGCACAGCACCTGCCTAGCAAGCATGAGGTCGTGAGTTCAATTCCCGGTACCGGAAAACAAACAAACAAACAAACAAACAAACACAACAAAAAAAGAAATCTCACTTTCAAAAAGACAAAAAAAGAAGTTTTGATGAAACTTTGATTACAAAGCCTAGGATTTAATCCCCTGTGCTGTATAAAGGAAAGAATTACTGTTCTATAGCCAACTGCTTTGAAAATCCAAGATCTTAGCCAGGTTATTGAATTGATGTTAACATCTGGAATTTAAAAAGAAGGAAGGAAAGACAAGACAAGAAAAGGGAAAATACAAAATTATTCAGGCCTGGAGGTGTAGCTCAGTGGTAGAGCACTTGCTTAGCATGTGTGAGGCCCAGGGTTTGATTTCCTAGCACCTAGGCCAATATTTGAAGGTTAATCTCAGTGTTCACAAAATTGTGTAAGATAGCATTAAAATATTTATATTTGGATTTTGTTACTGTTTAACGCTATAGCTGTTTTTCTATAAGATTTTTAAAGATAAAAGTTTAAAGCGGTACTTATCATGGCACACAACCTGTAATCCCAGCTCTGTGGAAGGCTGAAGCAGGAAGATTCTAAGTTGGAGCCCAGCATGGTCAATTTAGAGAGATCTATCTCAAAATTTAAAAATGGAAAAGAGCTGAGGCTGTAGCTCAGTCAGAGGGCCTTAGACTCAATCCCCCACTTTTAAAAAAAAAGGCTTAGTAAGATCTAAAAAATAGTTGCTTTAGTGATAAAGAGGAGGGGGACTAGAAGATTTTTGACATAGTAATTCTCATAGGAATATCAGTAATAAAATGCTGCTAAACGTAATCATCATTCACTGAATCACCATTGATTGGTATTTAGAATTGGTATTTGCTCCTTTTCAGACTCTTTCCCACCCCCAGCTGCTCCCCTTTGTTGGGAATAGAACCTACAGCCTCACATGCTAATAAGGTGCTCCTTTTTTTTTTTTTTTGGTAGCAGGAATCAAACTCAGGACCTTGCACTTGCCAGGCAGGTGCTTTATGCCACTGAGCTATATCCCCGGCCCAGCACACGCTCTTAACTTGTGGCATTAGTGCACATTCATTCACTTTTATTAGCCAGCTTTGTAATAAACTGAAAAGCCATTCAAGTAGCTTTGTGTGAATTTATCTATTGGCCAGAATAAAAGTAATGTATAAGTAGAACCTTTGGAGCCTAAAATCAAGGAACTAAAGTAATGCTCTTAGGAGACAATGTTTCTACCAACCTAAAGGCTCTCAGGTTTACTCCTAAAACCTGAAAAGATTTTCAAGGATTCTGAATTTTTGTCTAATTTAATTTCCCTCCTCCTTTACATTCCTTTGTAAAAGTCCTGGAGCTCCACAGTAACAGTGTTCCAGGAAAGAAGTTTATTTTTTTATTTGGATGTGTTACACATAGTACACATGTTGCAAATTGTGTTCCATGATAGTAAATAACAATATATCCATTTGAATTGTGAAAAAAATATTCTTACAGAAATAGCTGCCTTAGCTTTTATGATAAACACTATCTTATTTCAGCAGGAGTAGAATACAGGCTTTTCAAATCAGACAGAATCTCAGCCCTCATACTTCCTAGCCTGAAGAATGGTGTAATTTAACCTTTCTGAGTCTATACATCTCATATATAAAACAAGAGATATTAATATCCACTCGTACAGGATCTTGATGAGGTTTGTTTTGTGTCTTGAGACAGGGTGTCATTGTGTAGTTCAGACCAGCCTTGAACTCACTGTGTGGGGCCCAGTCTGGCCTGGAACTTGTAACAATCCTGCTGTCTCAGCCTCCCAAGTGCTGGGATTACAAGCATGCGCACCCAGGCCTGGTTTTAATGAGATTTGGGGGATGGGTATTGGGACTCAAACTCAGGACCTTGCGTTTGCCGGGCAGGTGCTTGTGCTGTTAAGCTGTATCCCTGGCCCTTGATGAGATTTAAGTGAGATAAACTTATATAAGCTGCCAGACTTAATGACTATAAGAGAAACTCAAGGTTCAGTTGCTTTGGGTATCTTCATATTTGTTGAGTGGTAAATGGTAGATTCTAAAGCAAAAATGTATGTTATCCTCTCAGAATACAAATGTACCAATGCTAAAGTGTACCTCCCCCTTCTTTTAACATTTCCATCAGACCTCAACTCATTAACTTTTCTTAATATTACAAAGCTTAATGCATATCTCTTTGATACCTTGTGAGTTATTTTATTACTGTATGCATTGAGTAATTTTTAGATTTTAAAGATAAATGAGCACTGTTTTCTTTTTGCTTCCACAACAGTACATTCTTGTTTTTCCTTAGCTTCCTATTGTTAGATGGTGTAGTTAATACCATCCTCCAGCCTATTCTATATTTCTCACCAGGTTTTAATTTACTTCAAGAACTAGATTTTCACAAAGTTATACTTTCAGCTTGAACCACTTCACTGAGTTACATTTTCATACTTAAAACTTCCTAGTTGGCATAGTCTCGATTTGGTTGTGTTTGAATTTACTATCCTCCTGGGGTTGCAGGCCTGTACCACCATGCCTGGCTTCATCTGCCTTTTGCTTTAATATTTTAACTACTTTCTCTACTATGAAACATCGTTCATTTTGTCTTGCCATGACCCTAGCAGATGCCATACGGTTCTCTGCCTGAGGCCAGCCATGTTCTCAAGAGTCTCAACCCAGTCCCCTAGGTAGCTGCCTAGGCAATTAGAGATTCATGTGAAGAAGCTTTTTGAACAGCTCTTACAATAAAGGATTAGAAATTTTGAAGGTTTTTTTGTTGCTGTTGGATGAAACCCAGGGTCTTATGCATGGTGGGCAAGTGTTCTATCGCTGAGCTGTGCCCCACTGCCCCAGCCCCAGCCCTGCTGAAGGTCATGTTTGTTCCTAGGGGGCTTTTTGTTTTGTTTTTAAGATTGGGTCTCACTATGCTGTCCAGGCTGGCCTCAAACTCCTGCCTCAGCCTCCTGAGTGCTGGCATTACAGGCATGCACCACCATACCTGACCTCTGAGGGGCTTTTTCTTGGTAATATTTTGAACTTTATTTCCTCTGCCAAAGGTTTATATGTATAAGTAATATTTTCCTTACATCTTTATGGAGGTGGTAATAGCTTTTGCAAGATCTTTGTTTTTGTTTTTTTTTTTTTTATGAAATTGATCTTTGAGTTGTTGCAAAGTCTACCTAATGCTAAACTTCTTAACATGTTATGTCTTTATCTCTTTTTAGTCCTTAGGGGAAAAGCTGAATAGAAAACTAGAAGTGGTCCATTGTGACTTTTTTAAAATGGATCCTACTCGTCATAATCTAGTGAGACCACCCATTGTGCTTTCGCAAGAGCTTTTTCCAAGTTTGGGAATAGAAGCAAATTCCTGGTTAGAAGGTAATTTTTGTCATTCATCGAAACAAATGCCTTTTGGTTTCCAGCTTTCTTTAGCAGTACACCTGTGGTGTTCAGTAGGTTTGTACACAGTTCATAGTGTCGTAGTGTCTGGTACCTGAGCAGCCGCTCTCACATTGATTATGCTGTTCCCCTGGCCTTGACACAGCCATTTTATTGCCTGACAGTCCAAGTTCCACAGAAAGACACTGTTCATTGATTTAAAATTAAAATTGTTAACTAGTTTACCTCAGTAACATGTCCTCATATGAAAAAGTATTAAGAAACTTCTTTTTGCATGTTTCCCTAACAGATACTCCTTTTAAAGTAGTTGGAATGCTTCCTATGAGTAATGAGAAAAAGGCACTTTGGAAACTTTTACATGATCTGTATACTTGTTCTTCTATATATAGATATGGCCGAGTAGAACTATACATGTTAATTAGTGAAAGCCAGTTTGAGGTAAGTTTTAACAAGGAGCTGTTTTTTTTTTTTTTTTCAAGGGTTCTATAATTGTTCTGAGTATTCATAATCTGTAATTTTAATTTAGGGATTAAAACATTAAGGGTACTAAAATTCTAAATTTCTGTAGAGCAGTGTTTAGGTTATGACTGGGTTTGTTGTTATGTTTTATATTTGTGTTTTGAGAAAGGGTTCAGGCTGGCCTTGAACTCACTATGTAGCCCAGGCTGACTTCACACTCACAGTAGTTGTGCCTCAGCCTCCCCAGTGCTGGGATTACAGTTATGGGCCATCACGTCTGGCTCTATAAAGATTAAATTTTTTTGATTTTTTTTTTTTTTTTTTTAAATCCTAGTCTATTGGGGCCTAGTACAGAAGCTTGGTCAAAAATAATGGCCTCTTGTAAGTTTTACTTAACAGACTACTTTTTATTCTCTGTAATGAGATTGCCTCCTGAAGTCCTTCCCACTACTGTGGGAATAATGTTTTTTTTCTTGTTTGTTTGTTTTTTTAATTTTTTAATTTTTTTATTTTTAAAGAGTAAAAGAAGGATAACATAATAATGGG